AAACACTTCAAAAGTGACGTTTCTGAAGAATTTTAACAGTTTTCTTGTATCTACGAACGCCAGAATGCATAAAATTGACCTAAACGTCTCCTTTTCCTATTCTGAGTCGATTCTGCATGCTTTAAGTGTGTTTGGTGGCTCAGAACCATCAAAAAACGTTGAAATATAGTTCAAATTCAATAAAAATCGAGAAAAATACAGTTTCTAGCTAAAATTTGATGGTTTCGTTGCACTTTCCGAGCCCGTAGGGTATCTGATTGGCTTAAAAGTACAAGAAAACACTTCAAAAGTGACGTTTCTGAAGAATTTTAACAGTTTTCTTGTATCTACGAACGCCAGAATGCATAAAATTGACCTAAACGTCTCCTTTTCCTATTCTGAGTCGATTCTGCATGCTTTAAGTGTGTTTGGTGGCTCAGAACCATCAAAAAACGTTGAAATATAGTTCAAATTCAATAAAAATCGACAAAAATACAGTTTCTAGCTAAAATTTGATGGTTTCGTTGCACTTTCCGAGCCCGTAGGGTATCTGATTGGCTTAAAAGTACAAGAAAACACTTCAAAAGTGACGTTTCTGAAGAATTTTAACAGTTTTCTTGTATCTACGAACGCCAGAATGCATAAAATTGACCTAAACGTCTCCTTTTCCTATTCTGAGTCGATTCTGCATGCTTTAAGTGTGTTTGGTGGCTCAGAACCTTCAAAAAACGTTGAAATATAGTTCAAATTCAATAAAAATCGACAAAAATACAGTTTCTAGCTAAAATTTGATGGTTTCGTTGCACTTTCCGAGCCCGTAGGATATCTGATTGGCTTAAAAGTACAAGAAAACACTTCAAAAGTGACGTTTCTGAAGAATTTTAACAGTTTTCTTGTATCTACGAACGCCAGAATGCATAAAATTGACCTAAACGTCTCCTTTTCCTATTCTGAGTCGATTCTGCATGCTTTAAGTGTGTTTGGTGGCTCAGAACCATCAAAAAACGTTGAAATATAGTTCAAATTCAATAAAAATCGACAAAAATACAGTTTCTAGCTAAAATTTGATGGTTTCGTTGCACTTTCCGAGCCCGTAGGGTATCTGATTGGCTTAAAAGTACAAGAAAACACTTCAAAAGTGACGTTTCTGAAGAATTTTAACAGTTTTCTTGTATCTACGAACGCCAGAATGCATAAAATTGACCTAAACGTCTGCTTTTCCTATTCTGAGTCGATTCTGCATGCTTTAAGTGTGTTTGGTGGCTCAGAACCATCAAAAAACGTTGAAATATAGTTCAAATTCAATAAAAATCGACAAAAATACAGTTTCTAGCTAAAATTTGATGGTTTCGTTGTACTTTCCGAGCCCGTAGGGTATCTGATTGGCTTAAAAGTACAAGAAAACACTTCAAAAGTGACGTTTCTGAAGAATTTTAACAGTTTTCTTGTATCTACGAACGCCAGAATGCATAAAATTGACCTAAACGTCTCCATTTCCTATTCTGAGTCGATTCTACATGCTTTAAGTGTGTTTGGTGGCTCAGAACCATCAAAAAACGTTGAAATATAGTTCAAATTCAATAAAAATCGACAAAAATACAGTTTCTAGCTAAAATTTGATGGTTTCGTTGCACTTTCCGAGCCCGTAGGGTATCTGATTGGCTTAAAAGTACAAGAAAACACTTCAAAAGTGACGTTTCTGAAGAATTTTAACAGTTTTCTTGTATCTACGAACGCCAGAATGCATAAAATTGACCTAAACGTCTCCTTTTCCTATTCTGAGTCGATTCTGCATGCTTTAAGTGTGTTTGGTGGCTCAGAACCATCAAAAAACGTTGAAATATAGTTCAAATTCAATAAAAATCGACAAAAATACTGTTTCTAGCTAAAATTTGATGGTTTCGTTGCACTTTCCGAGCCCGTAGGGTATCTGATTGGCTTAAAAGTACAAGAAAACACTTCAAAAGTGACGTTTCTGAAGAATTTTAACAGTTTTCTTGTATCTACGAACGCCAGAATGCATAAAATTGACCTAAACGTCTCCTTTTCCTATTCTGAGTCGATTCTGCATGCTTTAAGTGTGTTTGGTGGCTCAGAACCATCAAAAAAAGTTGAAATATAGTTCAAATTCAATAAAAATCGAGAAAAATACAGTTTCTAGCTAAAATTTGATGGTTTCGTTGCACTTTCCGAGCCCGTTGGGTATCTGATTGGCTTAAAAGTACAAGAAAACACTTCAAAAGTGACGTTTCTGAAGAATTTTAACGGTTTTCTTGTATCTACGAACGCCAGAATGCATAAAATTGACCTAAACGTCTCCTTTTCCTATTCTGAGTCGATTCTGCATGCTTTAAGTGTGTTTGGTGGCTCAGAACCATCAAAAAACGTTGAAATATAGTTCAAATTCATTAAAAATCGACAAAAATACAGTTTCTAGCTAAAATTTGATGGTTTCGTTGCACTTTCCGAACCCGTAGGGTATCTGATTGGCTTAAAAGTACAAGAAAACACTTCAAAAGTGACGTTTCTGAAGAATTTTAACAGTTTTCTTGTATCTACGAACGCCAGAATGCATAAAATTGACCTAAACGTCTCCTTTTCCTATTCTGAGTCGATTCTGCATGCTTTAAGTGTGTTTGGTGGCTCAGAACCATCAAAAAACGCTGAAATATAGTTCAAATTCAATAAAAATCGACAAAAATACAGTTTCTAGCTAAAATTTGATGGTTTCGTTGCACTTTCCGAGCCCGTAGGGTATCTGATTGGCTTAAAAGTACAAGAAAACACTTCAAAAGTGACGTTTCTGAAGAATTTTAACAGTTTTCTTGTATCTACGAACGCCAGAATGCATAAAATTGACCTAAACGTCTCCTTTTCCTATTCTGAGTCGATTCTGCATGCTTTAAGTGTGTTTGGTGGCTCAGAACCATCAAAAAACGTTGAAATATAGTTCAAATTCAATAAAAATCGACAAAAATACAGTTTCTAGCTAAAATTTGATGGTTTCGTTGCACTTTCCGAGCCCGTAGGGTATCTGATTGGCTTAAAAGTACAAGAAAACACTTCAAAAGTGACGTTTCTGAAGAATTTTAACAGTTTTCTTGTATCTACGAACGCCAGAATGCATAAAATTGACCTAAACGTCTCCTTTTCCTATTCTGAGTCGATTCTGCATGCTTTAAGTGTGTTTGGTGGCTCAGAACCATCAAAAAACGTTGAAATATAGTTCAAATTCAATAAAAATCGACAAAAATACAGTTTCTAGCTAAAATTTGATGGTCTCGTTGCACTTTCCGAGCCCGTTGGGTATCTGATTGGCTTAAAAGTACAAGAAAACACTTCAAAAGTGACGTTTCTGAAGAATTTTAACAGTTTTCTTGTATCTACGAACGCCAGAATGCATAAAATTGACCTAAACGTCTCCTTTTCCTATTCTGAGTCGATTCTGCATGCTTTAAGTGTGTTTGGTGGCTCAGAACCATCAATAAACGTTGAAATATAGTTCAAATTCAATAAAAATCGACAAAAATACAGTTTCTAGCTAAAATTTGATGGTTTCGTTGCACTTTCCGAGCCCCTAGGGTATCTGATTGGCTTAAAAGTACAAGAAAACACTTCAAAGGTGACGTTTCTGAAGAATTTTAACAGTTTTCTTGTATCTACGAACGCCAGAATGCATAAAATTGACCTAAACGTCTCCTTTTCCTATTCTGAGTCGATTCTGCATGCTTTAAGTGTGTTTGGTGGCTCAGAACCATCAAAAAACGTTGAAATATAGTTCAAATTCAATAAAAATCGACAAAAATACAGTTTCTAGCTAAAATTTGATGGTTTCGTTGCACTTTCCGAGCCCGTAGGGTATCTGATTGGCTTAAAAGTACAAGAAAACACTTCAAAAGTGACGTTTCTGAAGAATTTTAACAGTTTTCTTGTATCTACGAACGCCAGAATGCATAAAATTGACCTAAACGTCTCCTTTTCCTATTCTGAGTCGATTCTGCATGCTTTAAGTGTGTTTGGTGGCTCAGAACCATCAAAAAACGTTGAAATATAGTTCAAATTCAATAAAAATCGACAAAAATACAGTTTCTAGCTAAAATTTGATGGTTTCGTTGCACTTTCCGAGCCCGTAGGGTATCTGATTGGCTTAAAAGTACAAGAAAACACTTCAAAAGTGACGTTTCTGAAGAATTTTAACAGTTTTCTTGTATCTACGAACGCCAGAATGCATAAAATTGACCTAAACGTCTCCTTTTCCTATTCTGAGTCGATTCTGCATGCTTTAAGTGTGTTTGGTGGCTCAGAACCATCAAAAAACGTTAAAATGTAGTTCAAATTCAATAAAAATCGACAAAAATACAGTTTCTAGCTAAAATTTGATGGTTTCGTTGCACTTTCTGAGCCCGTAGGGTATCTGATTGGCTTAAAAGTACAAGAAAACACTTCAAAAGTGACGTTTCTGAAGAATTTTAACAGTTTTCTTGTATCTACGAACGCCAGAATGCATAAAATTGACCTAAACGTCTCCTTTTCCTATTCTGAGTCGATTCTGCATGCTTTAAGTGTGTTTGGTGGCTCAGAACCATCAATAAACGTTGAAATATAGTTCAAATTCAATAAAAATCGACAAAAATACAGTTTCTAGCTAAAATTTGATGGTTTCGTTGCACTTTCCGAGCCCCTAGGGTATCTGATTGGCTTAAAAGTACAAGAAAACACTTCAAAGGTGACGTTTCTGAAGAATTTTAACAGTTTTCTTGTATCTACGAACGCCAGAATGCATAAAATTGACCTAAACGTCTCCTTTTCCTATTCTGAGTCGATTCTGCATGCTTTAAGTGTGTTTGGTGGCTCAGAACCATCAAAAAACGTTGAAATATAGTTCAAATTCAATAAAAATCGACAAAAATACAGTTTCTAGCTAAAATTTGATGGTTTCGTTGCACTTTCCGAGCCCGTAGGGTATCTGATTGGCTTAAAAGTACAAGAAAACACTTCAAAAGTGACGTTTCTGAAGAATTTTAACAGTGAAGGAATAAAAGATGAATTATAACTATGGCTGCAATAATAAAAGGTAAAAGAAAGTGGAATGAAAAGAATCGTGTCAAGGTGGCATTGTCTACTGCGAAGCCTCCTCATACTCATTGTACAATAGTAGATCCTAGGTAAGGAATTGCTGATAGAAGATTTGTAATTACGGTTGCCCCTCAAAATGATATTTGTCCTCATGGAAGAACATATCCCAGGAATGCAGTTGCTATTACTAGGAATAAGATTGTTACTCCTACTATTCAAGTGTGAAGTAGGTTATATGAACCATAATATATTCCTCGTCCAACGTGTATGTAAATACAGATGAAAAAAAAGGACGCTCCGTTAGCGTGAAGTGTTCGTATTAATCATCCTTGATTGACGTCTCGACAAATATGGGCTACTCTATTGAAAGCTATTTCGATATTAGGGCAATAATGTATTGCTAAAAATACACCTGTAATGATTTGAACTCCTAAACAAACTCCTAGTAGGGATCCATAGTTTCACAAAAGGGAAATATTAGAAGGAGTAGGAAGATCGATTAGAGAATTATTTACGATTTTGAAGAGAGGGGAATATTTACGTATTGCTTTTTTCATTAGTTTATTTGACGGATGGATCCTTGTTTGAAATTGGTAATTTTGACTGTGGCAATTAAAGCTAGTAGGAGATAAAATATTATGAATAATAGAATTATTCTTAATGGAAAATTGATGAATTTATTGATTGTTAATATGAATTCGGTTTTTTGATTAAAAATTAAGAGTTCGTTGTTTGAGATTAATAATTTATTAATATAGGATGTTAGTCAGGCAATAATGGGTAAAGGGGTAATAATTATTAAAATCTTAAGATTTGTTTTAAATTTTTCGTTTGATGCAATTCTTGTTATATATATAAAAAGAATGAGTATCCCACCAATTATAATTAAGAATAGAATGTAAGAAAATCATATATTTTGATTTATGAATCCTGTGGTTAATCTGATTGTAATGGTTTGTAATAATAAAATTGATCCTATTGATAAGGGGTGTTTTATTATAATAAAAATAGAGGTTAGGATTATGTTTGTTGCGATAAGAATAGATAAAATTTCAAGAAATAGTTTATTAAAATATTAATTTTGGAGATTAAAGATGAATTTATGTTCTTTCTTGATGTTTTTAAAGTTGAACTTATTTTTAGTTTACAAGACTAATATTTTATATTAAATTATAAAAACTAATGATAATTTTTAAGTTTACAAGATTTTTTATGTTTTTGGGGGGTTTACTGGTTTTTTCATTGAAACGAAAGCATTTACTTTTAATATTGTTAAGATTGGAATTTATTATTTTATCCATTTATTTTTTAATGTTTTTTTATTTTAGATTTTTAGGTGGGGATTATTTTTTTAGTATGGTTTTTTTAACTTTTAGAGTTTGTGAGGGGGTTTTAGGCTTGTCTGTATTGGTTTCTTTAATTCGTACTCATGGAAACGACTATTTTCAAAGATTTAATGTTTTATGATAAAATTCCTATTTTCATTAGTTTTTATGATTCCTTTATCTTTTTTCTTTGATTTTTGATTGAATCAGGTAGTATGGTTTATTGTTAGTTTATTTTTTTTGTTTGGATTTGTTTCTGTTGGATTATTTTCTAGAGTTTCAGGTGAATTAGGGATTGATTTATTATCTTATGTATTGATTTTGCTTAGTTTTTGAATTTGTAGATTAATGATTATGGCAAGAGAAAAGATTTATCTTAAAAATAATTGATATGGCTTATTTTTATTTGTTGTTTTGATTTTAATAATTTCATTATTTTTGACTTTTGGTTCTTTAAATGTTTTTTTGTTTTATATTTTTTTTGAGGTTAGGCTAATTCCTACATTAATTTTAATTGTGGGATGGGGTTATCAGCCTGAACGTTTACAGGCTGGGATTTATTTGTTGTTCTATACTCTTTTGGCGTCCTTGCCTATAATGGTTTCTTTGTTTTTTTGTTATGATTGTTTTGGTTCTTTACATTATTATTTTTTTAATGATAATGTTGATAGATTGATTATTTACTTGCTTATTAATTTTGTTTTTTTTATTAAAATTCCCATGTTTTTTGTTCATTTGTGACTACCAAAAGCTCATGTTGAAGCCCCAGTTTCGGGTTCAATGATTTTAGCTGGAATTATACTTAAATTAGGAGGCTATGGTATAATACGACTTATAGTTATTTTTTCTTTAATTGGGATAAAGATTAATTTATTTTTTATTAGTTTGAGATTGGTCGGGGGTTTTTATGTGTCTTTGATTTGTTTACGTCAAAGAGATATGAAATCTTTGATTGCTTACTCTTCTGTTTCTCATATGGGATTAGTGTTGGCTGGAATTATAACTTTGAATTATTGAGGGTTAAGAGGGGCATTAGCTATAATGGTAGCTCATGGTCTTTGTTCTTCTGGTCTTTTTTGTTTGGCTAATATTTGTTATGAACGTTTGATGAGACGGAGTTTATATATTAATAAGGGGTTAATTAATGTTATACCTAGTTTGTCTTTACTTTGATTTTTGCTTATTTCTTCAAATATGGCTGCTCCTCCTTCATTAAACTTGATGGGTGAGATTATGCTTATTAATAGAATTGTTGGTTTTAGAATATTTAATATGTTTTTTTTAATATTAATTTCTTTTTTTGGGGCTGTCTATTCTTTATTTTTATATTCTTATAGTCAACATGGAATGGTCTATTCAGGTTTGTATTCGTTTTTTACTTGTAGGTTTCGAGAATTTTTATTGTTATCGTTGCATTGAGTCCCATTAAATTTACTTGTTTTAGTTGGGGATTTTATGGTTTTATGAGTTTATCTAAGTAGTTTAAATAAAATTTTGATTTGTGGAATCAGAGATATACTATAGTATTTTAGATAATATTGAATATTTGTTTAATTTATTTTTATTTTATAACTGTTTTTAGATTGATTTTGTTTTTTCTTAGAATTAATTTTATAATTTTGGATTTGACTTATTTTTTAGAATTTAATTTGGTTATGATTAATTCTTCATCGTTTGTAATGACTTTTATTTTTGATTGAATGTCTCTTTTGTTTATGAGTTTTGTATTGTTTATTTCTGGTATGGTTATTTATTATAGTCGTGAATATATAAGAGGAGATTTGTATTTAAATCGTTTTATTTTGCTTGTAGTTATATTTGTAGTTTCAATAATATTGCTTATTATTAGTCCTAATTTAATTAGAATTTTATTGGGTTGGGATGGATTAGGTTTGGTTTCTTATTGTTTAGTTATTTATTATCAAAATGTAAAGTCATATAATGCCGGTATGTTAACTGCTTTAAGAAATCGAATTGGTGATGTTGCCTTATTGATGGCTATTGCTTGAATATTAAATTATGGTAGATGAAATTATGTTTTTTACTTAGAGGAATTGAAGGGTAGGTTTTATATATCTATAATTTCTTATTTGGTTTTGTTGGCTGCTATAACTAAGAGAGCTCAGATTCCATTTTCTTCTTGGTTACCTGCAGCTATGGCTGCTCCTACTCCTGTTTCTTCTTTGGTCCATTCTTCAACACTGGTAACTGCGGGTGTGTATTTATTGATTCGTTTTAATTTTGCTTTTAGAAATTATTTGATGTATTTGTTACTTTTTATTGCTATGATAACAATGTTTATATCAGGAATTGGGGCTAGGTTTGAATTTGATTTAAAAAAAATTATTGCTTTATCAACTTTAAGTCAGTTAGGGTTAATAATGAGTATTTTGGCGTTAGGTAGGTATAAGTTGGCTTTTTTTCACTTGCTTACCCATGCTTTATTTAAGGCTTTATTGTTTATGTGTGCTGGTAATGTTATTCATAATTTGGGCAATTGTCAAGATATTCGTTTTATGGGCGGGTTAGTAAAATTTATGCCTCTTACTTGTGTGTATTTTAATATTTGTAGTTTATCATTGTGCGGTTTACCTTTTTTGAGAGGATTTTATTCTAAGGATTTAATTTTGGAAGTAATATCAATAGGGTATTTGAATTTGTTTGTTTATTTAATTTTTTATTTATCTATTGGGTTAACAGTTTGTTATAGAGCTCGTCTTGTTTATTATAGTTGGGTGGGTAATTGAAATTTTTTTTCTTTAGGAAGAGTCTCTGATAGAGGGGTTGTTATGCTAAAGGGAATAAGAGGTTTAATTTTACTTGTTGTTTTTATGGGTAGGTTATTAGGTTGAATTATGTTTCCTTTTCCTTATATTATTATTTTACCTTTTTATATAAAGTTAATGGCTTTAATTATAGTCTTTTTAGGGGCTTGAATTGGATATGAAATGTCAAAGTTTAATTTAAGTTATAGAAATATTTATGCGAATAACTATGGTGTTTCTTGGTTTTTATCAGGTATGTGAAATATGCCAGTGATTTCTACTTTTGGTGTAAATTATTATCCTGTTGTTGGAGGATCTGTTCTTTATAAAACATTTGATCAGGGTTGAACTGAATATTTCGGTGCTCAAAAAATTTATGGTTTATTAGTGAGGGGATCTTCGTTTGTTCAAATTTTAATGTATAATAGAATTAAAATTTTCTTTGTTTTGATGTTGTTTTGAGTTATATTATTACTTATACTTTAACTTGGATAGCTTATATAGAGCATGATATTGAAGATATCAGGGAAATTATTAAATTTTCAGGTATTTATAAATGTTAATTAATTTTACATTGAAAATGTAATGTTTTTTTTTAAACTATATAAATAGAAATATAAACATGTTAATGCTTTTTATTAAGTTAGAAGCTTATTTTTGTATATTTCTTTAATTGGAACTTAGTTCAGTTTTATCATTAACAGTGATATACCTCTATTTTGGTTTCAATTAAAAATAAGGATTGTTAAAATCAGATTTTTAGGTCGAAACTAAATGCAATTCTTTGCTTCTTATTTAAGATAAATTGATTAGATCAATTATTTTTAAGTGCAAATTAAATGTTATTATTAACTATTATCCTAGTTTGTTCAGTTAAGAGCTCCTTGTTTTCATTCGTGATATAGTCCAATTAATAAGATTGCAATGAAAACTGATGTTGTAATAAAATATGATATAAGAGAGTTTGATTTTAGAGTGATGATTATTGGTAATAAAAGAGTGATTTCTACGTCGAAAATTAAGAAAATAATAGCAATGAGGAAAAAATGTAGTGAAAATGGAAGTCGAGAGGAAGATTTGGGGTCAAATCCACACTCAAAAGGAGATCTTTTTTCTCGATCTGTAATGGTTTTTTTAGACGTTAAGTTTAGGACTATAATTAGAATGAGTGTGATTAGTCTAATAATTGTGGCTATAATGAATAGAATTTGGATTATTTATACTATTTTCTAGATCTTTTGATTGGAAGTCAAAAATAATTTTTATACTATATAAATATCTACCTCATCAGTAAATTGAAATGTAAAGGAATAGTCATACTACGTCTACGAAATGTCAATATCAGGCTGCGGCTTCAAATCCAAAATGATGAATTTGTGAAAAATGATTGTTAATATGACGAATTAAGCAGACTAGAAGAAAGGTGGTTCCAATAATTACATGAATTCCATGAAATCCTGTAGCAACGAAAAATGATGAACCATACGCTGCATCTGAAATTGAAAATGAAGATTCATAATATTCGAATGCCTGGAGGGCTGTAAAGTATAGTCCTAGTACTACTGTTAAGGTAAGTCCTTGAGTAGTTTGTTTGAAATTATTTTCTATTAGTCTGTGATGAGCTCAAGTTACGGTTAGTCCTGATGTTAATAAAATTAATGTATTTAGAAGAGGGATTTGAGTAGGATTAAATGGTGTAATTCCCTTAGGTGGTCATAGTATACCAATTTCTACTGTTGGAGCTAGTCTGTTGTGAAAAAATCCTCAAAAAAAGGAAATGAAGAAAAATACTTCTGATGTAATAAAAAGAATTATTCCTCATCGTAGACCTATTGTTACTACATATCTGTGGTGGCCTTGAAAGGTTGCTTCTCGTGTAATGTCTCGCCATCATTGATATATAATTAATAATATTGAGGCAAATCCAATAAATAAAAGCGAGTTGTTATAAAAATGGAATCATTTGATAATTCCTGATATAACAAT